CCGAAAACGCTCCGCACCAGCCAGCAGTCGCCCATGATGTGCGCACTAATGATTATCATTGGACCATGCGCAGCTCCGACACACACACACACACACACAGCGCCCCCGCCCCGGCGCGCCCGCCTCCTCGGACGCGCCCGCTGCTCCTGGTGATTGGTCGCTCCGGTGGATATGCATTGGACTGGACTGGTGATGTTTCTGCTGTGCGGCATAGTTCAGCAAGCTGCGGCAACACACACAGTCGGCGCTCGTCCTGGCAAGTGCCATCCTGAGTGCACCAAGTTCGGGTGAGGGTGGAGCCAAATGTGGCCAGCGTCGCCTGCATCGCCCTGCGCGGCGCCACCTCTTCTCATGAGTGTGTAACACAGCCATGCACGGCGATGTGATTCCTCGGCAGGAACTGTGGAGACCATGGGAAGTGCACGTAAGCCTGTGCAGAGTTGGCGTTGGCTGCCTTCATCCGATCCTGTGGAGGCATGAGATTCGATTTCTATCTGTCAAGTCGCCAGTGGTGGCATGGGCTTGCTTTGTTGGTTTGCAGGTGTCCATTTGGCCGCATTGGGGAGGGTTGCGAAATCGACTTTCTTCGTCCTTGCCGAATGGGCCCAGACCGCCCAGGTATGCCACTAACTGTCATGCGTCTATCCTTGCCCAAAGCCGCTGGTGCCCAGCGGTTTGCCCCCATTCCTCTTGTGTGCTACTGTGCAGCTTACTGCGGCCTGCCATCGCAAAGTTGTGAGTGCATTCGACGATGTAGAGAGTATTTTTGCGCGAATACAACCAAAGGAGTGGAATGCCCAGGTACACACAGGACATTTGTTGGTGAGGACCACCCGTGCTACGCGCGCGTCGCCATTGACCCCGACGAACAGGCAAGTGGCCTGCTACTCCTACTCGCAGCCTGAGCAGACGCCAGTTTGTGATGTTGCTGATTTGATCGTTGCTGTTGATTTCTGTGGCCTGTGCAGTACTCCCTGTTCCCCGAAGAGGACGAGGGAATCGCCAACTATTATTCCAGCTGGTTGCCAGACAGCGCGCAGGAGGTGGACCGCAGGCAAGTGGTTGGAAGGACGAGGGAGTGTTTGTTGCAGTCGATGGTGCCTTGGTTCCCCTTCCTTCTTGCCATACCACATCTACGTGGCTGGCTCATCTTATCGCATATTCTCATCCCTGTTTTACTACAGTGTGGCACAGATGACCCATTCAAATAAGGATGGACGTTTTGTTGGCGTCTCCAACTGCCCTGACCGCTGCAACATGCATGGCCAGTGCGTGTACTGGACGACCGCAACACCTAGACGCTACCACTGCGAATGCTACCGTGGATACCACGTGCGCCCTCCGTGCTTGCTAGCTGCCCCGATGTTTTTGTTCCCCAACATTTCAAATGCTTGCTGCAGGGTGCGAGCTGCGAAAAGATAGACGATAGACGCTGTTTGCTCAAGTGCAATGGTGAGCGCGGCTCTTTGAACAGATTACCTTCAGATTGTGTGCTATCAACAGCATTACGGCTTCATGCAGGGCATGGAACATGCGAGGATGACTTTTGCAAGTGTGAGTTGCCCTATTTCGGCCTTGGCTGCTCCAGAAACAGAGTCTACCCTGTCAACAACACCAGGCCAAGCCTCGTCAACTTTAAGATATACATGCAAGTTTGGGTGGCAGGGCCGGGATGGCAGCTGCCAGCACAAGCTGCAAGTCTCTAATTGTCTGTGCTGAATTCCGTGCCTCTAGGTATGATCTTGATGTTCGGGTGGCCTATAGCGCTGTTCCCCATGTTTGGATCGATGCTCCGGACGACCCCAACACAATTTACTCGGCATATTATCATGTGACATGGATGCACGCTTTGGCCTGGTTGTCAAAGTTTTGGCCAGCAACCAACTGCATAACATTTGGCTCCAACTGCAGTTTATGGAGCAGTTTCTGCTGAGTTCAGCACGCACAGAAGACCCGTCTGAGGCCAACCTGTTCTACATGCCACTCCTGCGTAGCCACTATGGAGGCACGTCTGACCTCCTTTTCTACTTACCCCTTGGCTGGCCGCGGAAATGTTGTCACCCATATGCAATTCGTGGTGATGTATGTATGCATGCAGGCAATGAAGTCACGGGTGACCCAGGTCCCATTGTTAATCACGTAGTTGATTATATCAGACAAAATTGGCCCTACTGGAATCGCACAGGCGGACGTGATCATTTTTTCGTGAGGAAACACAGCCACACTGTTTGGCTGCTGTTTCGGAGGTTGAAGAAATCATATCATCTGTATGCAAACATGCCATAGGCATACTTGTCCTGTTCCCTGCCATGCAGTTCATGCCCATAGATCGCGGTGCCTGCAATTTGCAGGGCGCTGCGGCAGAGGCAATCAAGTTGACTCATTTTGGCATGCTGACCCCAGCGTCGTGTGCGTCAATTGCTGACAGTTTTGAGCTTGGTTTTTGCTGGGATGCGGATCCAGATCCTCATGCCAGGTCATGCCAGCTTGAGGGCCTACATCAACACAGAACTCTTTCCCATATGGTACAGATTCGTGGCACTGTCACTATCCGTTGCGTGATGTGGTGGTGCCGCCGTTTGAAAGCCGTACCAGGGAGTGGATGAACACATCGCTGCAGCTCGGCGTGGATGATGTCATTTGCGCGAAGAAGACGTAAGTACGACTTGACATTTACACTTCACCATTTCACGTTCTTGTCGCCCCGCTGCGATGAATCAAAATTGCTGTGCGACATCCCGGCATATCTCCTCCCTTGCAGCATGCTTTTCTTTGCTGGTGATGTGCGGCAAGGGCACCCTGGGTACAGGTGAGCATCTCTACACTGTGTTGAAGGCCAAAAGCACATAAAAGTGTCCACCAATTGATCACTGCACCTTTTGATTGTGCCTGTAACTGGCATTTGGTTTAGTGTTTTCTGTGGTGCTGCAGTGGAAACGCACGTCAAACTTTGAGCAATTTGACCAAGGAGTGGAAAGACGCAAACTTCGCGGTTGGTGCACGGAGTCCTTGAATTGCCAAAAGCACTTGTTGCGGGATGCTTTGCCCTGCATACCGATGTTTCAGCATCCCAGCTTTGTGGTGCTCGGTGCTGCAGCTGCGGATTGATATGCATTCATCCACAAGTGTTGGCAAAGCTGTGCTCCTCGTGTTAGTGCAGTCAGTGGAGGGTCAGACAGAAGAGTATGAACAACGATTGCGTGAGGCGAAGTTCTGTTTTGCACCTTATGGTGTCGGCTGGGGCATTCGACTGCTCCAGTGTATCCTCACTGGGTCCGTGCCTGTCATTGTCCAAGTAAGGTCATTGTTGTGAGGAGCGCCTTCATGCCGTGTTCCTCCACCTGCATCATCTGTCTTCTACAGGAGAATGTGTTGCAATACGCTGAAGACTTCCTGCCATATGAGGAATTCAGCATCCGGCTGAACAATGCTGACCTGCCCAGCCTGCCTGAGATCCTGCGTGGCATCACGGGCACGCAGTACAGACGACTGGTTAAGAGCCTGCTGCGCTATCGCCACGCTTTTCTCTGGGACACATCAGTGGGTGGGCGGGCATTTGATTACACAATTGCTGCTCTGCGTCGTCGTTGGCTGAATCTTCAGGCTTTGTATACACATTCTTGAATGAACACAATGGACTTGTATTGCAGTTTTGTTTTGTTTTGTATTTGCTATTTGTTAGTTGAAAAGTCCCCCCAGCAGCGACTGACAGATAGAGAGGGGAGAGAGAGAGAGAGACCCAGCTCGCCAATACTCTCGAATCACGGTTCAAGAGCCAACCATGCCAGGCAGTGAATTACACACTGTTGCAGTCAATTTGGCCAGAGTGCCGGAGAGAAAGCTTCCATTCCTCCATGTATTGTGGTCAGTTTGTTGCACAAGTGCCGGATGCTCATGCATCTTGGCCGCCCATTCTTCCCAAATATGCATGAAAAGTGCAGACGTCAGTGTGACCTGAAAATGCGTCTTCTCCAGCCACTGCAGAGTGTCTGGAGCCGCAGTTGGGACGGGACATTCCTGGATCGCTCGCCTCCCAGCCCTGATGTGGCTGCCGCTGGAGGCAGAAGGCGAGGAGGAGGCGGCTGAGCTGTCAGCGCCCTTGTTCACTGTGGACAATGCATCCTTTGGGAGCAATGAGCACATTAGGTGTTCAACGTGACTTGCGTGGCGAGTTACCAGCACCCCCGCAAAGCGCGACGGGCAACAGACACAGAGCACCAGCACAACGCAGGAGAAGCTGGGGGTCGGTTTCTGTGATCCGTGATTTACTTCCACGACCCTCACGTCGCCAGCTCGGTGCACAGCTGGCCAGCTGTTGGCTGTAACTTTGTGTTGACCGTCCTTGCCTGCCCTGCTTTCCCTCCACTCGTCTGTCTCGCACCGCAGGGAGCTGTTCACAGATTAGAACCTGAACGACACAGATGAGAAGATGGGAGGAGCTGGAGGACGCACTGATTCGAGGGGCAGGCTTTAGCCTGTTCTAACAGGAAGCCATGTGCTTTCTCGGCAAGCCAACCAAGAGCGGCAAGAACAACAAGAAAACAAATGCCGGATACATGAAGAACAGTTTATCGTTGCAAATGCCAAATCCCTGTCCGCAAATGATTGCAGAGCTTATGCAGTTTGGCTGCCACATCCCAGTCAGGCGCAAATCGAACATACTCTGCAACATACTGGCAAAGACCGAAACGAAAGCCCTGCAGGAACACGAATCTAAGAGATCTCATGAGGCAGAGCAACATGTGAGACTGCGTTGGCCTTGTTCAGCTGCCAAGGTATTTCCCACTCACCAGTTCACACATGTTGCGAAATGCACATGTCCCAGTAAGCAACCACTCCAAATAATGGTTGGGCTTGGGCCTGCAGCATGGAATCATCACAGAAAATAAACTAATTGAAGGTCAAGGCACCAACAGGAAAAAATAATATGTGAAGTGCAACCCCACCCATGCATGTGCACGATTCGCGCAGACTTGCGGAATGGGTGGTAAATCATGGCGTTAAAGTTCTGCACCCAAGTAAGCAGGACGGAGCCAGTGTCGGGGGGACTGGGGGGAGGCAAACAGAACGTCATGCAAGAGCCTCGCCTTGCTGATGGGCTTGCCCCGGATTACTTTCTCGTAGAACTGGTTGAAGGCACCCTGGTCAACAGCGCCATAACCTGTAAGTGTTTGCATGTTGCACAATCAAAATGCATGACAGCTTTACAGCACGGGGACATATTTGCCTGACAGCTCTATGTTTGTGCCCACCCTCATAGTATAATCCATTCTTTTGTGCAAAGATCCAGTCAATGAAGGCCTGGTTGGTCTTACGCATGTAGCCCATGTTCATCAGCATGATTCCGGCATTGTAGGGAAAATTGTCGTCCATCTCATAGCTGCATTCGGTTCATGTATAACGGACTCAACAGGCAATATTACGCTCCTGGCATTCGCGCAGCTCACCCCATGCCCAGTGCTGATGGCAGTGGCGTGCCCCAGTCAATCAGCTTCATCTGCTGGCGGAAGAACACATCACAGTCTGCAGCAGAGGCCAGGACGGAGCACTGTGAGGCAGAGAGCGTTGTTACAGGAGCATGCCACATTCACACGAGCAGCTGCACCGGCTAACTGCTGCGCCCTGCCCCCCTGCCCCCACAAGCTGCGCACCCGTGAACAGCGCATAGTTGTACTGGTCAAACTGGCGCAGGATGGGGATGTCGATGCGTTGGTAGGTGCCCACGAGCGCGCCGTCACTCTTGTACAAGTGAGACCTTGTCTGCAGTAGCATGGTGCAGGTCAAATGAAAAAGAACCCTAGTTTCTTTAAGAGGATGCTGGTGTGGTTTCACCTTGATGTTGAACTCCCGGTTGCGTGCACCCTCCTGTGCCAAGGCATCCTTCCAAGCTGGCGTGTGCTGCAGTTGTCAGCGTTGCACAGCCAGTGATGGCAAGAAGTGCAGCATTATGATGCAATGTGGGCTGTCCGCAAAGGGCCCCACAAGCACCGACCTGGATGATGGTGACTCCTTTGCTGAGGAACCATTGGTACATCTCCGCCGACGTGCTGCCGCTGTACATGCAGTACGGCTTCATGCGGGCCACCTCGATGCCAGAGGTCACGGCCGCCTTCACCATGTAATCGTATTCGGTGCCCGCCGACCAATCGTTGTACGTGAACACCCAGGGCATCCTGTGGTGTGGTGTGGGACAGTCCAGCGTCGGCAGTTTGTCAGGCAGCAATGTGGCTGGCGAAAGGTGCCTGCAATTGCGATGCCTGCTGAGCATTGGGCTCGCACGACTCACTGGTACAGCGGCATGAAGGCCTCCAGCGGGATGTTGCCGCCATTGTAATAAGTGGCAAACCGCCCCGCATGCCAACGCTCCATGATGAGCAGCGCGCTGAACACAGATACGCTGTTGCCCACAAACTGCTGGCAGCCGAGAGACAGATAGTAATCGACCTGGAGGCCCAAAGCGTAAGCAAAGCAAATAACAAATGCAACACAACAATCGATCCAAACTACACAATCGATCTAAAGCAACCGCCTACCAGAGCTGCCTCTTCCCGTGTCGACACAGGGAGCTCCCGAATGTCATGCTGCAGCACCACTGGGTACCTGGGAAAATGGAAGGACAGGCAGCACAGGAACATGCCTGAATACAGGAACACTTCCGCACATGAGACTATATATGGTAGCCCTCTCCAACTAGCCTGTGGCGTTTCAGGCTCTTGAGCGCTCGCCCGACAAGGCTGCCATTAGCTTGGTTCCAATTCATCACCAGAAGTAAAGGGTTCTGCAACGGCAGTTGAACACGGAAAGAGTGTAGCTGCAATGAGAGCACATGTGCGTGACAGGATGAACAACCACAGACATTTAAGGACAATGTCTGTGTCTTTCATGATGGAACTACTATATACAAACTGCGAACCTTGGTGTCAACTCGATGCAGTTCAAGGTGTTCCCCGATCGCGTCCGTATTGTTCATGCAGTTATCCCGGAGTACGCCTGCGGTAGGTGGGGGATCTGATTCGTACAGCCCCAGACAAACAATTGAAACGCCAACTGTTGCTCACCATCATCTGCACTTTCCCAGCGAGTGCAGTAAGCAATCCAGTCGTCCTCTGCCCTCAGATGCAGGACATTGTAGGCGTTGAATGCAGTTGAGCCTTGATGCAAATGGTCCTCTGCCCTGCATCAGCAGCAGGCTACCCAACTTGGCATGCCACAACTGCTCTCTAACGCTCTCGATGGAGCAGCAGGACGTACTGCTGACGTGTTTCTGGGGGGAAAGGCGCACATGTGAATGACGTCTAACAACCGATTCGATGGCTGCAAGGCATCCATGGCCGCGAATACCAGACCCTCGTGCGTAACCATCAAGTCGGCTGGCAATTGGAGTGCAGGGCAGTCAACCCTGCAATATGGCAAGCAGCGCACACGTGTGGGCATAACAACTTCCGGAATATTTGTGGTGAAACACAAGCTAGGGCCACACCTCAAATGAGCATGGACTCACCTGAGGTGCTGTGTGGAGGCATGGGTGATGCGAAGCAGGGCCATGAAATCATAATCCATGCTCAGGTGCAAGGAAGCCGTACCGGCTGGTTGCTCCACTGCCGTGGGCACACCCAGGGATTGCATGCGTTCACGAAACTGCTCCAGATTGTACATCTCGCTGCATAGCAAAAGAATCAGTTCGCAACTTCATTGTCGGTGGTAGAGAGCGCCAGCTGAAATGCACAAAAATCGGCAGCCCCTTACCCACCTGAACGGTATTCTCCTAGCATCGGTTCGTTGTCTGCCGTTTAGTAGCAGGCGTGGCAGCACCATGGTTCGGTTGAGCTCCATGGCAAGCACAACACCTGCATTCGAACATGCAGGTGGTTAAGGTGTGTCAAAACACAGAGGACTGCACCTCCACAACCCTGTACGCTCAGTTGTGGGTGCCTCACCTGACACCAGGGCAATACGCTGCAGGGCAAACCCGCCGCACACATCAAAGGACAACGTCCTGATGTGGGGTGGGCCAACTCTGGTGCCAGTAGGCAGCGCGCTCTTATCCAAAACCCCCGCCCGTCCCTGGTGCGCCTGCATGGGCCGCATCCTTTGGGTACGCAAGTGGCCCAGATGCAGAGCTACGATGGCCAGGGCCAACACCAGCGACAACAGCAGCCAGCGCCAGCTCGCAGCAGCTGAGCCGCGGCGACGATGGCGTGGTTCAGCTGCTCCTGGATTCGGCGCATCGGCGGCCGCCTCCCCCCGCTTTCTATGCAGTTGCTGCATGGCGAAAGAGTCACGTCGATGGCAGGCCGAGGGGCATGTGTGGACACATTGGCCGACGATGATAAATATATGATACCATCAAGGCAAGAGTGCACGCCGCGCCAGCACTCGGTACTTCATTGTACCGGCACGAGCTGTCTGCACTGCGGCCGGGCAGCCTCCTAAAATGCTTCACTCGCCTCGCAAGGACTCGCCGCAGCACGACCTGAGCAGACGTGAGGGTTTGTGCGCCGAGTGCACGGCCCAGGGCATCAAATCGGCGGCGGCGGTGGGCCACCTGGCATGTCTCGAGGCCCTCCTGAAGAGCGGCAGTAATGTAGAAGCGGCAGCCAACAGCCAAAGCAACAGTCCCTTGTTGTCAGCGATTCTTCGGCATGATCCTAACTTCGATCAAAAGGGCAGCCGGGCAGCATCTCCACTCCATGAAGCAGCGCACGGGGGCCACGCGGCATGCGTGCACGCTCTTCTGCAAGCGGGAGCAAACGTAGCAGAAGTTGGTCCAAATGGCGCCCAAGCTCTACATTGTGCGGCTTTGTCTGGCCAAGTGGTGTGCGTATTGGCTCTTCTGAAGGCTGGCGCTGATATTGAAGCACCAGACCAAGATAACGATACACCTTTGACATGGGCAACTCACGCTGGGCACTCGGCGTGTGTCGAGGTTTTGGTGCAGGCGGGCGCCAACATCGAGGCGGCACGCACTCCATGCGGCCAGCGAGCACTGCATGTGGCGGCAGGCCTTGGCCACACGGCATGCGTCGAGGTGCTGCTGCGGGCCGGCGTCAACATTGAGGCGGCACGCGAAGACGGTGATCGACCCCTGATGTGCGCAGCCATGTACGGCCACACGGCATGTGTGGAGACTCTGCTGCGGGCCGGCGCCAACATTGATGCACCAGAGAAGGGCGGCATGCGAGCCCTGCACTGGGCAGCATCGACTGGCCACCAGGAGTGCGTTGAGGCTCTGCTGCGGGCCGGCGCCAACATTGAAGCGGCACGCGATGATGGTGCCCGACCCCTGCATTGTGCGGCAATGGAAGGCCACCTGACGTGCGTGGAAGCTTTGCTGCGAGTGGGCGCCAACCCACATTCCGTGAACAATCATGGAACCCGCCCTGTGGATTGTGCATCCAATAAAAGCTGTTTCCTAGCATTGCAAAGGGCAGGAGCCACCGGGCGCAGCAGACATGACATCCAAACTGTGCAGCACAGCGGGTTAACAGAAAAAGTGGTGAGTGGGAAGGCACCACTTGCTCCCCAAAATCATACATTCCAGCATAACTCTTGCTGGAAGGCTTCTTTTTTTTTTGTAGGGCGAGGCAACGATACTTGGAAGCATACCCAGCCTATGCAGGTTCATGTGATTTTTGTACCTGTCCATGCTTCATGGAACGCGCTCTCTGTTTGAGCAGCCCTCGTGCATGCCCAATTGAATTTCTTGTTTTTTGCTTCCCATCTAACATCCATTATGCACCACCTCTTATCTTGTGAGGTGCCTCTTATCTTGTGAGGAAGCTCCAAAACAAAGGCAGAAGTGCTGACATACTCTCACCAGCACAAATAAAATGTATTGTGATATGCATTGTCTATTGTCAGACACAGTGAACAGGCTCAAGGTCTCGCACAGGTGATCGTTGTTGCACTCATTTCAAAGCTCTGCTTGTTGCGCACCATTTGGTCCATCTGCTGCAGCACCAGCAGGCCTGGCTGTCCAACTATTTTCTTCTGGGTAGTCAGCTAACATGTTGGTGAGGGTTGGCAGCTTAAAAAGATCCATGGAAGGACCGCCTGACGTGTCAATGCCGTCGCTGCTGTCAGTACTTGCCAGTCCAGGATTGCTGGGCTGCTCGGTGGCAGGCGTAGCAGGAGAGTTACCGATCAGCATGATCCACGACCCCAGTCGCATGGGCAGGCTTGCTAGTTGCAACCTGCAGGGGCATCGTTTGATGCTTGAGCCCATTAATATAATAACGCCTGTAAAATGCGTTGGTACATGCTGCATAGTCCGTGCCTGCGACCGTTCAGCTCATGCTTACTTCACGGGTTTCTCCATTTTGTAATGCATGAAGTGCAGAAGGTTCAAAAAGTTCAAAACTAAAAGCTGCGAGTTGTGTTTGACACACTTGTCATAATACTAATACTGCATCAGTATGGGCCCAACTTGCGTATGGCATCGAAGCAATTTCACAAAACTCACCGCCACGGACAACAAGGCCACGACTCCTGCCGCCTGTACCAGGCCCGTCGGTAGCCTTCCTTTTCGGGAAACAAACCGAGACATTGATCTGTCGCGCCGACGTGACACGCTCCCAAGCGTCGCGACGCCCGGGTGGCGTTCCCGCGAATTAAAAAAGCAATCGTGCGTCCGCTGGCGAAGTACAGCTGTACATTCGACTTGCGCGTGGGCGTGGTTATTTGATGCATTTGAACGGGGACAGCTTCAGAGCTCGCGATTGGGCAAACAAACGAACGGCAGTCGTGGAATCTGCTTTAAACTGTTGTGGTGTTCAACCATTCTTGCATGAACTGGTGAAAAGCCGGTGATGCCTCAGATCGGGCTGCTGTGATGAGTGCCAGGTGCCGGCGCCAGCGCAAGATGCGGCGCACCAACCGCCCTCCCCGGCCACCCGCCAGCCAGCAGGGCGGCTGGCTGGCGTCAGACCAATCCTGGGCTTGTGCCTCCCAGTCCCCCTTCAGATGATAGTCACGTTATGATTGGTTGCTTCTCGCTACAGGTTGGGCCGCTGTAGCTTGGCAGGCACATTTTCAGATAGGGCGCACCTCAAGGTGAGGGACGGCTAGCACTGGCATAGTCAATGTGTGGTACATTGAAGACTCGTGTGCCAGGCCGCTATGAGAGGCCCTGCGACCCCTGCCTCCTGCAGTTTCGGTCGGGGCTCCTGGCTGCGGCCTGCGGCGTCATGCTACTAATTATGTGGGGGAGGCACCAACAAATCAGGCCGACAGCATCCCACCGCATTCGCACCACACAGGCCCGCCACGGCAATGTAGTACTGACCCCAGCACACGATTCTTGCACTATGGAGTTTGAAGTCTGCAACGGCTTCACCAACCAGCGCATTGCTCTGCTGACAGGTAGCATATGCAGGTGGCAGCTGAGTTCTGCTGCGGCCTTGCATGCGCCGCACCATCGCCTCAAGAATGCACATCACACTTTGGCGCTACAGGGCTGGTGCTTGCGGCAGAGGCTGATCGTGCTGTTGTGTTGCCAGACTTTCTCCTGAATGGAATACAGCCAGATGGCATCGAGATGGTTACGGCCAACCAAGCTGACACCGTGCCATTTGGGTCGGTTGCTTGTGGCTTTGCTATATGCCGCACCCATGGCATTGCAACATGCTGCCGCGATGCCTGAACCAACGGCACCCTTGCGCATTTCTGCAGGTCGTGGTTTGATGAGCGGGAGTTTGCAGCAGCGGTTGCTCCCCATGGGGTCAAGGTCGTGGCGGGGAAAGCGCCTGGTGCCATACGCATTCCGATCAAGGCATACGATAGCCAGTCACGACCCACCGCTCTTGTGACCTACCTGCGCAAGCAGCGCTCACACCAGCACATCAAGTGTGTTGGAGCCTCCATCTGCCGCTCGTATGCCCTGTCCGCTTCGCATGCTTGCCACCAGATCGGCAGTCTTTGCTCAAATCACAGCGTCAAAGTCACCCTGCACTGCACTGCTGCCTGCAGGATTGCGTGCCCAGCATTCCGGTTACCGGCAGCTCTGATGAAGCAGCATCAAGAGCTCCTGCAGGCGGCAGCAGAGGGCCTGCTCCCATCAGAGCGCTTCCGCTCTTTGATTGCGGCCAGGCGGCAGCAAATCGAGTCCAAATCAGGAGCAGCGGTGTACAACTTGATCCACCTCCGAGTTGAGAAAGATTGGTTTGCGCTTTGCAAGTGGTGGCAGAAGCCGGAAGTGGGGCGGGACAACTGCATGAATAACACCGACACTGTTGGCAAGCAGCTGCAGCTGCACGGCTTCCAGACACAGGTTTGAGCATTCTCCAACAGCCTGCCACTGTTGCGGCCTTTATTTCAGTCAGTGCAGGACACATGGGATATCCCCTTCACCCTGACCACAAGTGTGGGGCTGTTGCATGCAGGTCCCTGTAGTCGTGGTTACCTCCTTCCCTGATGCTGTGCCTGAAGCGCTTGAGACCGCTTTGGAGTCCATCAAGTCTAGCAAGTACAGTGTGGTGCTGGGCAATGAGCTTGTGAATCTCGGCGAGGAGCTGACGAGAGAAGAAAGCGCGCTGGTGCGCAGGACGGGATGTATGCATTTGCATCTCTTGGCTTGGCTGCTTGTACAGAGTTTGCCCCTACTCCATGCATACCTCCCTCTTTCTTTGGAACCAGGTGGATTACTACCTCGGGCTGGAGGCTGAGAAGTTCACCGGCAACTCGGTGTCCACCTTCACAGCCTTCATCATCTTGGAACGCCAGTGGCTGGGCAGGTACGTGTGGCAGCCGTGCATCGTGATCGCTGCTGTTCTCGAGCCCTTTTTTCATGCTACTCAAGTTGCTCCCTCCAACGGGCCCTGTGTGTGTGCAGGTATTCTACGCATTACAACGGCGGTGCCATTCCTTTGAGCCTGTTCTTTCCATTTTTTGACAAACTCTGAAAGGGCGCCTCCCACCCGCCGCTTGTCATCCCTGCCTCAGCCGAAGTCGCTCCCTTCCCATCTCCTTCAATCTTGCTCCTTCAATCTTGTCAATTTTGCCCGGCAGGGTGAGGTTAAGCAGTTGCACTGTCGCCTGTACCTGTCTGGCACAGGAAGACAGGAATCAAGGTGTGGTGTGCTGTGCGCAACACGGGATGTCCAGCCATCCAGCACGGAGTGTGGAGGGTCTGACTATTCTCCATAAGGCACGACCAATGAATGGACGGGAGGACGAAGATGAATAGGGGCAAAACTCCGCTACCTTTAAAAGCAGACCAGCTGACCAGCACCCTTCATGTCCACCCATCCCCCGTCACCGCATCAGGGCTTAGCCTGGCCCCCGTCCAACCAGGCCCGCAGCTCGTGCGCTGGATGGGCTTTGGCAAGAGAGCGAGGTGGATTTTGATTGCCCCACGCCCCTCTTGCACATACCTTCCAAACCTAAAAACCATCACAACCACTGCTTACGCCGTGTGATTTCAAACCGTTACAGTGGGCATTACTGGAGTGATTGCTCTTCTCAGGTGCTGGACGAATGGCACAAGGCTCCTCAGCAGGGTTGCTGCACTGCACCCCGCAGATCCTTGTGTGTTGCAAGCAGCAAAGACCAGGCCAGCAAGAAAAACCTAGCTCAGTGGTACAGCAGCGTTGTGCTCCCAGGCCTGCTGGTGGCAGGTAGGAGGGAGGCTGATACTTTTTCACACCATCTGCTGCCCGGGCCAAAGGCACGACAGGGGGATGGTGAGGCCCTGCAGCAGAGGGAAGAGAGCAAAGGGCTCATTTCACAGGATTGGAAAAGTAGCACATGCGTTGTCAGCCGCCTGGTGCGATGATCAAATGCCGGTCCGCAAAGCGTTCAAAGCCAGGAAATGCCAGGACGGCTGCACATGGAACACAGGTTGAAGAGAGAAATTGTCTGCCACACTAGAGCAAGCAGCGCGGCAGGCAGCTTGCCTGCACATCCACGGAGGTGGGCACCATGCAGTGGCCGATGTTGGCGCCGACGTTGTTGCTGAAAGGCGAGGCCAGGTGGTCGGTCAGGTTGGCGAGCGGGCCCTTGCCGGTTGCCTGCGCCTGGATGGTGAAGGCCACAAAGGCGACCATGGCGAGGCGGCCATTCTTGATCTCCTTGGTCTGCACCTCCTTGAAGTTGCCCTTGCTGAAGCCCAAGGGGTCGAAGGGGCCGCCGGGGTAGCCCATCTCGGGGTTGGGCACCTTGAGGTTGGGGTTGAAGGGGTCGGCGTTCACCGAGTCCTTCTTGCGGATGTCCTGCCACCGGCGCACCTCCACAAAGTGCATGAGCAGGAACTCCCAAGCAAGGATGCCGCCTGCAGGGTTTCAGTGCGGGAAACGACTGGGGCTACGCAGGGCAAGGAGTGCGTTATGTGGCTGAGGAGCTCATCTGCTATTCCACGAGCCAGCCTTGCCACAGAGCCGTGCGCTGCACTCACCCATGTTGACCTTGTTGCCGTCAAAGGAAGGCAGGTTCTCGGGCATGCCGGCGCTGTACCACCACTGCTCGGGGTTGATGATCTCCTGGCCCAGGATGCCGGCCACACCCAGCATCGCCCAGCGCGCGTTCTGCAGCTCCGCCTGACGGTACCAGCTGCAGCAAGCAGGTGACAGTGGGGTCGATGCAGAACTCTTGGAAGACCACGATACACATAGCTTTGCTTACGTCAGGCGCTCCGGGTTGGCGCCCAGGCCCATGGGGTCAAAGCCATAGTCGCCAGCAAGGTTGCCATCCAGGTACTTGGGGGAAGCAACGCCAGGGGCCCACAGCGAGCGCTCAGCGCGCACCACCTGCGGCATAGCAAGGGCGTTAGAAAGCCACCACAGGCCCCTCGGGAAGATAATGGCAGCACTGTGGCGGTGATCTGACGAGAGGCCAAGCTGTGTGGATACATATCCACTACCACCAAGCAGTCTCCGCCCGAGCGCAACCCGTTGTTGAGCAGTTCAGCAGGCTCACCACGTTGCCCGCGCGGGCGCTGCTGCGGCTGGTGCTCTTGGCCACCTGCGCCCACGAGCAAATCTGTTCATTACTAACCATGCCCCAGCTGTAAGCCTGCCGTTCGAACCTATAGGCCTCCCGAGCGCAAAGGCTGAACCCATAGCAGAGGAGGGTAGGTGGAGTGCCCCGCCCCTCTGCGCTGCTGCAAATGTCCCAGCATCCGCGCATTCTCGCCCTAGCTGCGCGCCGCTGGACAAGAAGCGCTGCCTCACCACGCGGGTGCCGGCCAGAGCCGTCTTGGCGCTCAGGGCCTGCATGTTTCTATTCAGCTGCAGGTAGAACTCGCACAGCCGCGTGGAATGGCGGATGGGCCGGCCTGGGCCTGGGATTGGATGCCAGCTGAAATGCGTGCTTCGCTTGGAGATGGGTTTCCGATTCGTTGCTTTCCTCGCGTGCAAGGCTGAATAATTGGTGGACGCATTGGAATAACAATCAGTTCTTAGTGGTAGGGAATCCATAGAAACAATGACAGGGTGAATCGGGCAGCAAACAGAGGGCGGGGAGCCTAGTTTCTCATGCTTGGAAGGAAACAATCCTAACTGCCGAGGTTCCGATTGCAGCCATCGGCCCCGCAATGGTCAAGGAGCGTGTCAACGGGGCGGTTGGAGCCATGGGCAAGAGGGGCGGTTCTGTCCTAGCTGGGAGAGGGTAGGACAGCATGCCGACAGGGCCATGCCGCCGCCAGCCCCCGGGCCCCATCCCAGCTTTCCCATCCTACCTACCTTTCCCAGCCGCCGCCGCCGCCCCCCGGCGGAGGGTAGGAAAGGTAGGCAGGATGGGAAAGATAGGACGGGACTCCCTGCGCCAGAACCCCGACATGGCCCCCATCCCAGCAGAACCCCGACAGGGCCCCCATCCCATCTTACCTACCTTTCCCAGCTGCCGCCGCCGCCAGCCCCGGGGGGCCCATCCCAGCTTTCCCATCCTACCTACCTTTCCCAGCTGCCGCCGCCGCCAGCCCCCGGGACCCCATCCCAGCTTTCCCATCCTACCTACCTTTCCCAGTTGCCGCCGTCGTTAGCCCCCAGGCCCCATCCTACCTTTCCCATCCTACCTACCTTTCCCAGCTACTGCCTCCGCCGACCCCCCGGCGGCGGGTAGGAAAGGTAGGCAGGATGGGAAGGATAGGACAGGGCTCCCTGCGGAGCGCCGCTCCCTGGGCTGGGACAGCTAGGAAGCCTGGGAGGCGCAGGCGGGAAGGCTCAGCTAGGATGAGGCCGGACATGGAGGAGGGGGGCCAGCATCCAAGCTAGGGAGCTGGGAACCAAATTTCATGCCTAGCTAGGACTGTCCCAGCTTTCCCAGCTCGGATTTCACAGCACAAAAAATGTGTCCTAGCTAGGAAGGTAGGAAATCCGACCGCCTCTTGCCCATTCCTGGGCGGTTGGTGTGGGTACGAGGCGCAAATGGAAATCCCAGCACAGCAACCACCAAAGGCAACAAAACATGCCTGCGGAATTGCAACTTCGTGGGTAAGTAGAGAATTTCCGCAGTTGCATGGGCATGCTTTTCGCTGCCTTGCGCCTGCGTCAAATGCTGTCCTCTGCTCCGCTACATGAGGCATGTGCGATGCCATCAAGGGCTTTTGCCATTGCCCTGCGGGGTGGACTCTTTCCCGTTCCCATCGGTGTTATTCACCACCACCTCTACCCCGTGGACTATTCGCCGATATCTTGCTCGGCGGTGCGCTTGTCTATGCTGAGTGGACGGGCGACGACTGCAGCATGAGAACGAAAGTAAGACCGGAGAGCGTCTGGCATCATGCTCTTGCTTCCTGCTCCATGTCCGGCTTTTTGCAGGCCAGAGCCCCTAGCCCCGTTCTATCGACCTTGCAGCGGCCATGCAGCCAGCGGATGCGGCGGCACGGCTTTGAGCCGTACAACGAGCCTTGCGAGACACCTGTGGAAGCATTCTGCCCTAACCAGTGCAACGGTGGGTGGGGCCATGTTGCTGTGCTAACCCACTGGCAAGCGAGCTCTGTCAGCACCCTCCGCTGACTTGCCTGCTCGTGGCGCCATGCATGCAGGCCATGGCGAGTGCCAAATGGGTTTCTGCAAGTGCCACGAGGGCTGGTGTGGTCAGGACTGTGCATATTGGACAACGGGCACGCCTTGGTCGCCAGGCAAGTAAGCAGGCACATCGGGCGACAGTAGGTTCACTGTAGCCTGCGCCGCATTGTGCCCTCGCTCCCACCATACCCCTGCTGGGACACTTGCATGCGCCCACCACCGTCTCCTCCTTTGGCCGGCTGCAAGCGACAGCAGCTGTTCCCCCACCTCGCCCACCCACACCCCCCTTTGCACATCTCAGCTCCCGCCACCTGCTCTGCCACCTCTGCAGGCATGCAAGAGAAGGAGCGGCCGTGGCTCAAGCCATACGTGCACACGCCCGCAGCGCTCGACCCGGACCCAGGCGCAACCCGAAAGCGCCCGCTCATTTTGGTTTATGAGCTGCCGCCATTTTACAACTCAGTCATGATGCAGGTGAGACATGTCGGGGCGGGGCCGGCGCGAGTAACACATAATCACGCTTCACGCCCACTGTTCATGGCCAGCTGGCCCAGCCAGGCTGTCGGCTATGCTGCAGGCCCACCCTGCACCACCATTGTGTGGCTGTTGTAGTATCGTGTATCTCGCAAGGGCTGCGTGCACCGTTTCTTCGACGATGGCAACAACACAGTGTTCAACGATTACCGGCATTTGTACAACCCCGAGCCTGGTACGCAGGGTCAGATGTTGATGCGGTATCGGGACTGGCAACAGGGAGCCGGTTGGGGCTACTGTGGGCAGCCATGCATCGGCATGCACTTCGCTTGATTTTGCTCCTCGCGGCCACTGCCCTGCCCTCAGGCTTGCGCGAGATGCTGCTTCAGAGCGAGCACCGCACTCTGGACCCCGAAGAAGCCGACTTCTTTTACATACCTGTGAGTAGAAGGCGGTTGAATAAAAAAAGTTATGTGTCTTCCTTTCAACAGCAGGGCATGCCGGGGATCACCCTATCGGCGCCCTCGGGTCGCCGAGCCCCCACACAATGCAGCTGCGCTGCATATCACCACGGTGCCCTGGCCACAGGCGGCTGGGGCGACTGCGTCATGCAGCTAGGCTTGCCTCTCCTGCCCTGATGCAGGCTTACGTCAGCTGCTTCCTCTTTCCAGTCCTGAGTGAGGATGCCGCCTTCAGCAGCAAAGCCTGCCTGGCACTCCTCCCTGCCTTCTGTTGGTTGCTTATGCAGCCTGTTGAGCAGCCTGTTGAGCACCGATTTTTAACTCGAATCGGCTTGTTCTGGTGCTGGGAGCAATCCTTGCCTGTCAAGCATCCAACTTGCTTGCCTGCTGATTGCCTTGCTCCTGGCTTGCATACATTTCTGTTTGCCATCGCACTCCGCAGGCGCCACCGACTTCGCACTCCGCAGGCGCCACCGACTTCCCTTACTTCCACGGTGGGCCCGTGGCCTGGCGCACACACGCGGCAGCAAACATGTGCGTGTACTAACCTGGCGCGCAGGAGCCGGCCATCAGATTCATCTCTGTGTGTACCCGGCAGAGGATCCACTCCTGCCTGTCCCCCTTCCTCTCCTCTTACTAGCAGGTTCATAGAGGTGTTCGACTGGATCTGTGCCCATTATCCCTACTGGGACCCGCGACGGAGGCAGAGACCACATCGTGGTGGGTGGTGGTCGGACATAGGCTGGCTGGCTGGTTGGCTGGCTGGCTGGGCCTGTGGAAGGGTGCGAGCAGGCGAAATGGAGGGAAGTGGATGCAGATGCGCCTGCAACGCTGGCGCGAAGGTATGGGTGGCGCAGAGCCTGTTGCCAAGCATGGGCACCCCGCCATCCTCTGCTCCTTCTGGCAGCGCTCCTTCCATGACGAGGGCTCCTGCTGGGTGCCTGCTGTGCTGCGCCCCGCCATCATCCTCTCCCACTGGGGCCACACCGAGTTTCCGCACGCCAGCGGCATGGGGTGAGCGCGCTGAGGTGATGATATTCAAGGGGGCAGCGAGGATGACTCGCAGGAGGGCAACGGGCTGAATGCTTGTCAACCAGGTGCTTTGGGTGATGAGATACGTGGTGGGCAGCTCGACCTCCTGCTGCGCTAGGCTGCGATGGGCGTGGTGTTGGCGGCACATCCACCCCGGCGTTCTCCTCCCACCCCCTTGCAATTGTTGTGTCTCCAGCTACTGGCCAGACAACTACACGCATGACACGCGGCACCCGGTATGGCAGCCCGAGGGCCACATTCACAAGCTTGGAGACTACCCCTGCTACGATCCCAAGAAGGCAGGCCGCCGGCGCTAGCCGCCATGCCCTGTGTGCAGACTAACGGCGCCCAGCGAGGCATGCTTGCAACTGAGTCATTGCGGGGACTTCCTTCGTGGCGGGTGTTTGCGCTTCCATACCTTGCCTCTGGCAGTCGAGCTGTGCCTCCTGTCCCACCCACCCTGCCATGTATTCATACTCCTCGTTCTCATGCCTTTGCGCGCCAAATAAATTGCCCCAACGCAGGACCTGGTGCTGCCTGTCATGCACAGCGCGCAAAAATACCTGGCCAGCCCCATGCTGGGCGCTCCCACCCGTGAGCGCCGCATCCTGGCCTTCTTCAAGGGCCGCACCCAGCAGCATAACCCCAAGTTTTCAAGAGGCATCCGCCAGAAGCTGGAGAACCTAACGCGTGAGTATGTGCTCGTATTGTGGTGGGCTGCCGTTGAGCTAGTCAGGGTGGGTGAGCCTCGTGCGTTCGGTGGGTTAAGCCTTCGCGCAGCCTTCGCGCAGGGCTGCTGGGGTTTGCCCTCCCCTGCCCTCAGTCTCTGCCCTCAAACCTGCGGCTCCCCCCTCCAACTCTTGCTTCCACGGCATGCCGACGCCGCTGCCCCCGGTGCAGGCGAGCAGACTGGTGGGGCAAGCACAAGGTCCACATCGGGCAGGGGATGCCGGAGGGAGAGAGCGACTCTTACAGCGCCATGGTGGCGCAGTCCATCTTCTGCTTTGATCTCATGGGAGATGGCTTCTCCCCTCGCACGGACGATGCCATTATCCATGGGTGTGCCTGGCGCTGGTTGTCACTTGTGTGCAGTGACAGTGGTGTATGTGCGGGTGGGGCTCGGGGGTCGAGTGCGGGTGTATTGGAGGATCCCCCAGGCTTTGCGACAGGTCGTCCTCAAGTGTGGCAGGCGGCTTGCTGCTTTGCCCGATGCTTGCTCTCGCCGTGCATCAGCGGTTTTTTCAAGCTTGCTCTTGTTTTGTGCCCTCCCAATGCTGCATCCCTGTGCTGATTCAGGATGGCGTGGAGCCCACCTGGTCCAACCTGCTAGACATGAAGAGCTACATTGTGCTCCTGCAGAAGGACACGGAGCGCGTGCCGGAGATACTGAAGGCCATCAGCCAGGAGGACATAGCACGCATGCAGGCAAACCTGGCCAAAGTGTGGCGCCGGTGAGCAGGGCCGGCAGCACGGGGTTGCTTGCCGGGGCAGCAAAGGGGGCGGGCATTGGGCACTGTGGGTCGGAGCACTCGTGCTACATGCCACTTGCCGACGTTTGGGTGCATTGAGCTGTATCTAAGCTTTGATGGGCTACGACCGCTGCTTGAAGCATGCCTCCCACCCATCTACCGCAGGCATCTGTGGTCTGGCTTCCGGCCTTACACCAGCCAGGTCAGGCAGCTGCTGGCTGAGCGCAAGGAGGAGCACAAAGCTCCAGAGGAGGCCGGATTTCCTAGGAAGAGCCCTAAATCCGAGGTTCCGAGGCCCGCCTCTTCCTAGGAAGGAAACACCTCAGATTGTCAGAGCTAGGAGAAGGGTCAGATCCTAGCGGCGCCTCGTGGCGGCGGCGGCCAGCTGGCATCTTTCTCTGACTCTTCCGATCTTTCCGAGTTTTCCGATTTTCTGAGGGCCGCGAGGCCATCCGAGTTTTCCGAGTTTTCCGAGTTTTCTGTGGGCCGCCTGGCCATCCGAGTTTTCCGATCCTTCCGAGTTTTCCGATGGGAGGCAGGAGGCAGCAAAAAGCGTGTCCTCAACAATTTTCAGTGCGGTATCACTAGTGGGAGGTTGAATTAAGCAGCATTACACCCAAACATTGAGGAAAAGCAGCGCGCGCGCCGCGCGGCGGGAGCGGCTCCGCCAGCTCAGCGTTGCCGCCATTCAGTTTATACGTCTCCCTGATGTTCATTATCTTAGCTTTAGGTTGATTCAGAGTTTGGTGTAGGGGTTAGGGTTTTTAGGATGGCTGGGCCGCCCAGCCGCAGGCTGGCGGCGCGCGGCGGCGGCGGTGGCGGCGGCGGCGCCGCCGCCTTAGGTCTGGCAGCGGCAGGCGGTTTTTAGGGTCTCCCTGCTGTTCATTATCTTAGCTTTAGGTTGATTCAGAGTTTGGTGTAGGGGTTAGGGTTTATAGGATGGCTGGCCGCCCAGCCGCAGGCTGGCGGCGCGCGGCGGCGGCGGCGCCGCCGC